GATGGTTCATGGTTTGTATGTCAGGACTGTGAATCTGATGGTTCATGGTTTGTATGTCAGGACTGTGAATCTGATGGTTCATGGTTTGTATGTCAGGACTGTGAATCTGGTGGTTCATGGCTTGTAGGTCAGGACTGTGAATCTGGTGGTTCATGGTTTCTATGTCCGGACTGTGAATCTGGTGGTTCATGATTTCTATGTCCGGACTGTGAATCTGGTGATTCATGGTTTCTATGTCCGGACTGTGAATCTGATGGTTCATGATTTCTATGTCCGGACTGTGAATCTGGCGATTCATGGTTTCTATGTCCGGACTGTGAATCTGCCTAAAAAAATGAGCTCCACGTTTTCGGGTCGTCGGTGCGTTATAAGAAAGACAGACAACTTCACTACTCAGTTAACTAAAAGTTGCCCAGAAGTTGGCGGTGGGTGCTTTTGACTAGGTGTCTTCTCTGTTAACAATGAGTTGAAAATTAGCTTTTTGTAGCTTTACGCGAAAAATCTAAGACAAACAGTTTTGATATTTGTACATGGTACTGGATGAATGACTCATTGGATCATGAAGTTCAGCTTATCGTTACATATTGTATGAAATTATAATACAGTAATGAATAAACTCTGTTTTAATAATGGAATGTTTGTAACACCTTACCCGGAGTGGGTTAGAGTGAATATCTTCAATAAAGATAGAAAAGTCATCAAACACTTCTATATTATAAAACCTGAAAACACTAGAGGAAGGAAAGATGTTGAAAATGATCCTTTGGTTTTACATATTGGTAAAATAGGCTTAGGGTCTCCAATATGTAATGAACCATAAACAAAGAAAGTACTTTGGATTATACATCAAGCTTTCTTCTGGGCCAAATAGGCTTACTAGAAGTTAATAATACATCATGGTTGAAGATACAAATGAAAAACGTCCAGGTTTTAGGTGCGGTAATTGTAATCGATCACTTGAGGGTATGGTGCTAACCAAAATATGGAACAGAATTTTTACCATATACGCAGCTTATAACGTAATCACATCTAAACACAATTTACCTGTTTGTTTTATAGATGTTTCACGAAAGCTACACGCGGCTTATCTCAAACAGTCAACACCTAGCTATAATGTAATCACATCTAAACACAATTTACCTGTTTGTTTTATAGATGTTTCACGATAGCTACACGCCGCTTATCTCAAACAGTCAACACTAAGCTATAACGTAATCACATCTAAACACAATTCACTTGTTTGTTTTATAGATGTTTCACGAAAGCTACACATG